TATATAATTATAAATTTATCATTTTAAATGATCTTATTTTTTTATTAAACTTTCAAAATTTAAAAGTTATATTCTTATCAATTAATTTAAAATTAAATTATAATGGATCATATAAAAAAAATTTTACTGTCTATAACTATATTTATTAAATTTAAATTTAAGAGTTTATTTAAATAATATTTTCATTCAAATATATGACTTTATTTTATTTAAATTTTATTTAAGTAAAAAAATTGAATGATCAAATAAGTTAAAAATCCCGCTCAAATATCAAATCCCTTGTCATATGGTCATATAAGCATGACATGGCAATATTTTGCCATCCAAGCAGCCAGGCGAGCAAGTCCCAAACTGCAGTTAAGCCAGGCCAGCGAGTCTGAAACGGCGGTTAAGTTGGCGTAAGAAGAAGGGTTTAATTGCCTTGATCGCAGAGTTTAAGGGCTTATATGCATCAATTAAAGTCTAGGGGCTTAATAGCGATTCTGGGGTTAGTTCAGGGGCTTAACTTATGGTTTTGCCTTAAAAATACAGAAACATAGCTACTACCGATCATGGGATGGTCCTTTCTCGGCATAGGCTTCGTCCGGAACAAAAGTTTCAGAGATTTTCATAGTTGACAAAATTAGGAAGGCTTCTTCTCTATGTTTACCTTTTTTAGAGACAATAACTTCATCAAATTTATACTTTAACTTGGAAGTTTATGCGTGGTCATCCTGTTTTTAACGTTAATTTGCTTCGCTTGGAAATGAATTTGCAACTGCAACGATGTTTCGGCTTTCATTTTCATGGTTGCATTTCGTGGAAAGAGAGATTGAGATAAAACAAAGTAGGGGAAAGAAGGAACAAGATGAGTGTCCACACAGCCGCAAACAAAGAAAATATTTTTTTTATATGATGAGTTAAGTAAAATGAAAAAATAATGTTTTTTAAAATATGTCAAGCGGCAGCATGAGAGAAAAGGAAACTGGCGGAAGGGAAGTTAAAAAGAAGGAACGAAAGTTGACCACGTAATATCTCAAACAGCGGTCAACGACGCTGAAAAGTAGTAATTGGCTAATTGCCTTGCATTGTGAAAATTAAGCAAGTAAATTTTAATATAAAATTTATATTTAATTTAAAATTAATTAATAAAGTAATTGTTTTTGTATTTAACTTATAAGATTTTTGGTTAAATTATTAATGTGAAATTTTCTCATTTACTATATGGTCTTATGTAGAAGCTTATTATAAATATTGAGTCACATAATTTAATAGTCTCCTTATACACCAATTGGGCACAAACTTTGGGTTTTGTTTGGTAGTTTAACATTGATCATTCTAGGAATAGAGTTGATATCATATGAAAATTAAATATGTAAACTTCAATACAAAACTTGCTAACCTAAAACTAATTGGACACAACCCCACAGTTGTAGGTTGTCATATGACTTAATACACCCCTTTCATGCAAGTTCAGTATTGACTTTGAGTCTTATTAGGTAGACTAACAATAAACTTTTTAGGACAGAACCTGAAAGATTTTACACATATAAGGATATCAAATTTAAAATTTTTTCTAATTAAAAGTATTTTTTTAAACTAATCAAGGTTATCACATTTAAAAATTTTCTAAGCAAGAATATCACCTTTTTCAATTTTACTATTCAAGGATTAATTGGATGTCAATACTGACTTGGCAAACAGATTTCGTCAATGGGACCCACTAAATTGCTGATGTGTCAAAAAATTGACAGGTGACTGCTTTGACTTTGAGCTGATTTGGACGACAAGCATAAGTGTCAACACTGAAAAGAGTGGTATCGACACCCAACCCACATTGGAAGATCCATTTTCCTTTTATTCATTTTAACAAAAAATATATAAAATTAAAGAAAAATCATAAACATGGTAATGAATATATGGATTAGTTAAACACAATAAGGTACATTATATAGATTTATTAAAATTAATTTATCATTTGAATATATTATATGAAAATATTTTAAATAAAAAATTTATTCAATGCACCATATTAAATTTTTAATAACTATAGTAGTAAAAATAAAAATTTTAAGAAGTCATCATGGCTTGTTTATGTTTCAAAATTTTGACTTTCTTATGTAAAGCATTCTATTGCCTGTAAAGAAAGTTATCCATGTAGAGAGTTAGATAATTCACTTTAAAAATTATGATTATTCTTCTTTTGTCTCTTTTGTTTAAGGTTTCCAAAATCCTTGCATGACAAAAAAATAAAAAATTACTTGAATATGATATTACATATTTACACACTTTTAAATATTATAATAATATCATTAAAAAAAAAACTCACATTTTTTCCGTTGTTTTTTGCACTTTCACTTCTTTGAAAGTTAGAGAATGCATCTTTCTCTAATTTTTTAAAAATTATGCCTACCACTTTGAGATTTTGTGTTAAGTTGGAAAAAAATATATTATATTGCATAACCAATTATTTTGGAAAGAGATAGAAATTTAATCTGTGACTAATACACTATAACCCATGGATAAAAGTTGTGCCTCTAGTAACGGACAAAAACTCCTATTAAAAATTGTGATTCAAGTTTACAGTAGGGTGTAACAATAGACAAAAAGCGGAGAGATCTTGAGATGGATTGCAGGGGTTAAATATATGTTGTACTCAAACTAATAATATTATTGTTATTTACAAAAAATAATAAGAATAAAATAAGTAATTTTACCTTAACATTATGTTATGAAAATAACAAATAAAAAGATATCCAGTGACAACTTATTCTTCAAAATTGTGTAGTTCTCTCAATCCATTATAAAAGATAAAATAAGAGTTTGAATCTCTTTATAATTTTTTAATATTTAGATCGGTATGAAAATATTATTATTTTAATTGTAAAAGAGCTATTTTAGAGGGATCTTATACCCTACTTCAATCTTTGTAGGATTTGTTTATTAATTTATTTTACTCTAATTTTAATTAATTTTTACTAAACCTAACAAAGAATTCCCGACACGGGTTCAGTGTCGATGCCACATGTTTCGGTGTCGACAATATTCATTAAAAATTCTAACGTGAATCTTTATTGTCCAAATTAGCTCCCAGTTAGGTAGCCACTTGTCAATATTTTTACGCATCAGCAATTTAGTAGGTCCAACAGATGGAATCCATTTGCCAAGTCAGCATTGACATCCAATTAATCCTTCAATAATAAAATTGAAAAGGTAATATCGTTAATTATTTAGAAATTTTTTAAGGTTAAATGCTCATTTTGGTCCCTCAACTTTATCGATTTGCACATTTTTGGTCTTTAAAGTATTTTGTGCACATTTTTTATCCCTCAACTCTAAGAAATGCACAACGTTTGTCCTTCCGTCAATTTAGGCCGTTAATTCCGCCACGTGGCATTTTTTATATATTTTTTTTTATGACATAGAGAAGATAACTTAAAAAGATGCTGATCTAGACTTTTTTTTTTTTTTTTTGATGAGATCACTACAAGCAAAATTCCCTTTACCAATGGAAGTCTATACTGATGGATTAAAATCCGTCTATATAAATCATGTATACCAACAGAAAACATAAGCAATCAGTATACATTGGTCTATACCAACGGAAAAATATATTCGTTAGTATAGATTGGGTTTATACTAACAATTTACTAATTATTCGTTTATATAAAGTATATATATTTTAACGGTAATCATTATCTGTTTGTATAGATCTATTTATACAGACGGATTAACCTATTCTATTTGTATAATTCCCTGTTTCTTAAAAACAATTTTTTCCTCTTTTATTTTAGTCGTTTGTATACATTTTCTCCTCCCTCCATATATTCCCAATTTTCCCTCCCCAAATTCTGAGTTTCCCTCCTCGGTAAGCCTAACTATTTCTGTCCCTTTCCCAAATCTCCATAATTTGGAATTTATTTTGCTAAAACTCAAAAACCCATTCAAACCTAACTACAAAATTCAAAAGCCTGACTCTAATCCTCCCCAAATTCTGAGTTTCCCTCCTCAATAGGCCTAAGTATTTCCATCCCTCTCCCAAATCTCCAAAATTTGGAATCGATTTTGCTAAAACTCAAAAACCCATTCGAACCTAATGCAAAATTCAAAAGCGCGACTCTAATCCATGAACAATAGGAGGTCAGTAGGTGAGTTTGTGTTGATTTTGGGTGATTTCTTCCTAATCCTCTTCATTTCTTCTATATTCATGGGTTGATTTCGCTCAAGAGACAAGTATTTGGCTTGATTTCATCCTTTTGCTACCTTTCAATTTCCCCGAATTACACTTTCTAAACTGAGTTTCTCATCTACTCTTTCCCTATATAAGAATCGAGTACAACTTTAGGGTTTTTGAGATTTGTAAATGTATCTTTGATTTTATGCGAAGCTTTGGGTTCACCTATAATTTTGATTTGATTTGACGTATTGGAGGTTTCTGGCAGAGGATAGGCGGTGGCGTGCTACTTGGCTGAGTGAAAAAAAGGCTTCTGTTGAAGATCCGGTGGCAGAGAGGTAGTGGCACTACTGAGGGAAGAAGAAG